GGTGACAGGTTCTCCACTCCACCCTTAAATCAAACTGAGAGGCGGAGACAGCAATCAAGACTGTGAAGTCTCCGATTCACAAGGGTCCAAACTGGGAATACTGTTGCAGAGCAACTCTGAATAATACGTAATCGCCAATTGAATGGTCAATGAGGAGGTTGTAAAAAATGGATGTACCAGTTTTAAAACTCAACTTCAATCCAAACATACCTTTGCATTCGGGCTTGGGTAAAATGGAGAGAAAAGATGAAGAAAATGGTGATAACAGTGATATCAGTAATAATGATGTAATGATTACAAAGACTAAGTAAGCAAAAATAAACTACTTGAATAACGTAGACCAAGCACAGAGAAACTTAGGGGTGTTGTGGGAGAATGAGATTCATAGAAAATCAGAATGATGTAACTGACTACGTGACTTTGACAGTGAGAGAGAAAACACCAGTCTAGAATGAAGAGCTGTATTGGAGAACCTACTCTGTACAAATGCAAATGAAGGAATGTTACAGTAAATGAGGTTGATGAGCCTTAGAGATAAGAGCAAGCAGCCTCATGGACATTGAACATGAAGACTCCTACAAACCAGGGAAAATCCAGACAATGCCTCAATTGGCAGGTGTCAGCATTGGCTTGAAGCACAAGGTAAAGCAGCACTGGAAACTAAATTAAATAACATTGACACATCAATGTAGTTTGGCCTTCAAAGCTCTGTTAATGCCATTAATATAAAAATTTTACCTACACTGTCAGAAAATATGGCTTTTTAGTCAATTTTTGCAGGGGAACAAGGAAGGCAGCATTCTGGAATAATGCCTAGGAACAAGATTATGTGGAAAAACAGTATAAAAGTAGTTATATAAAGAGCTATTATTCTACGTTTACATTGTAAAATCATTGTTCAACTAACTTGAATCAGTTTGCAAACTAATACAAAACAAAATGCACTCTTTGTTCCTTTGCAGCAAGAATCACTTAGCAGATCAAGAAGACCAACAGTCTGTGAAATATCGTACAATAGTAAGCAAATCAAGTTGCACTAATCATAATTGTAAGCCACAAAACTACAATGAGCATTTCTTCCTGATCTGAACTTAGGGCCAGAGTTCAACATGTTTTGGACAATTTGAATACTGAATTCTGCAACCCACCACCAACAACCACTCCTCCACTGCACAAAGCAGAAATCACTCCAAATAAAATACAATAGCCAACAAGCCGAAGTAGAATTAAAGAATGACAAACGAAAAGATGAAGTCCAAAGGATAAAAGTGCAGAAGGGCAATTACTCCACCTTCAGCAGATTTTCTCTTGAAAATGATGTGCTATGCAATCATTAGTACCTTGAGTTCACAAGTGCATTTTCAGATTAACACAGCATTCTATAGGAGCCTACAGGAAGACATTAATAGTAGGTGAGAAGTTAAGCTCCAGTAGATTTGAAAAACACCACCTATCTATTCCTGGAAATCAAAGAAAGTATCCTTTATATTGTGACCAATTACAAACCCATATCACAAGGCTACCTTCAATTCTGTAAACAAGCAGAGGAAGCATACTAGTTATCTATGCAGACAGGATACTCTTTGAACTACTCATTTCCAAGAGTATCTCTACAAACTTTTATGTCTCCAAAATCACATTTGCGTAGGCTCTTTAGCCTTGAATGAGTTATATTCCTATGAGAAAGTATAGGAAAAAGAATTTCAGGTCAGGCATAAAAATGGCAGGTAGACATGTGCTTTTGAAGTATGGGATCATTGCTAATTTACCTTTCTAAAATGAACTTTCTAATTTATATATTAACGTAAACTGCAAAAAGTTGTATACACCTGCAATTACTAGATTGATTCTTTTATGGTCTAGAGGGAGTGTTGTGGGATAACGTGGCCAGGAGGAAGATTTTTGGACATTTTTCATTAATTTTTAAAACCAGCTTTATAAACACCTACTGATTACTTCTTAAACTGCCTCATCATAGCGAGCATCCTCTAGGCAATGCCTAACAACTTGTGCTCCACTGAACAGAGCTGCCCATTAGACCAATTCATTATGATATAGCTCTCCTCAGTAAGGGAGACTGTGTGGAGAAGAAACATTAAAAGGTATTCAGAGACCAAACAACATTAAAAGGATATTCTTTATAGTCGCATTTACATTAAATATTTGTCTTGAGCTCTGCTCCAACACTTTCTCTCCTCGACCTGAAGGTGCAGACTCTTGTTTGGGGCATGCTGACAGCCAAGTGCCACAACGACAACAAGGACACTTTTCCCCGGTAAGCGGTTTTTCCAAAATCGAAACTTAATTTTTCCATGAAGCGCACAAGATATCACAAATAAACCTTAGTAGTCAATGGAAAAACCGGGCTTTGATGGCAAGTCAGTTACAATGTTTTATGGGCTTTGGTACAATTGCTGGTGAAAAACAGTGTTATACAATATATACAAAGGTCCTCTAATATAGCAAGAAAATGTATTACCTCTGCAACAGCATTAAGGCAATTAAATTGAGATCCATACCAAATTCATACAAAAGGATTTTTCTGATCAGAAGCATCTAAAAATGGCAACTGAGCTATTTCCTTTTGTAACAGTGGATAAATTTTTCTTGTACCATTTTGGTGTACAATTTCTTTGGCAGACATATTCTTAACTAATACAGGTTTTTTATAAAGGTGCATTCTTATAGCTGAAAAAGCATTAACTCTGGCAAAACATTCACTGTAACTGAATTATTTTACAATTCCAAGAGATTTCTCTTGCCAAAAATCAAATGGTATTTATGAACAAGCAATTTAAGCAGTTTGATCGGGCAGGTGAAAATAGCTCTTTTAAAAAATGAAGCAGTTGAACATTTTTCTCACTTTATTTTTTGAGAAATTGCACGATACAAAGAGAAAAACATTACAGTATGATTTCATACAATTAATCATAATTATCATGGGTTATACTTTCTGAACATTTTAACTAAATCTTTTCCCAGATTCCCACATGTACATAGCACACAACGAATAGTTTACAGATTTAAATGCTAATACAATTCTTTAAAACATTTATCAGACAATCATAAAAATGCACAACCTGGATTTTCACTAAGGCAGTAATATCCTTTGATTTAGTAGAAAGCTGAAATACTGAATGGTCTTCAATTGGTTCTTAAAATCTTTTCTCAAAATGTTTAATAGTGGAAAGGTAAACTTATAATGCATAATGATGCAGTGCAGAACATTTTTTTGCTTTCTGATGCATCTGCCATCCTTGTTACAGTTTAAGAAACATTTCAGGTGACAGTCACTATGGTAAAAGATAAACAGGGAATTGCACATTTCAGAAAGGATGTATGTCAACTTTGAAACTAAGCATCAAAGTTTGACAATGATTAGTTATATGGAATTATTTATTGGGGCAGTACAGGCAATAAGACAAATCAGTGGTTAAGGTTACCATATAAGTAGCAAATAATCTTTTAAATGATTGCACATACACCAACATGTATTTTACTCCAACGTTACAAAAAAAACTCTAGTGCTTTTCTCCATATCCTATCAAGTCCATCTTTCACAATTAAAGGTTACAATTTCAATAAATTTAAAAGTATTATATTACATTGTATCATGTTTAGAGAGCATCAAAACATATCAAAGCATGGTTTACCCACCAGATTATTCAGAGGGAAAGTTCTATCACCTACCTGATATAGATTTTTCAACAATTTAACTAACATTGAAAAAAGATAGCAGTGTAAACCACAAGTTATACAAGTGATTTTACTTTACTGTCAACATTTCATCACCACTGGAGGAAATGAGAGTGTTCCTTAAAATATTACATGGAACATAACCATTTTGAACAGAATTCTAAATTCATACTTAAGAGACAGGTTTAAAGAAGCAAAAAAGGCGAGACCAGAAAATGTCAGCATTTGAATAACAAAAATCTTCAATTTCTTAGAGAAACAAATGGTAAACTTGTATGCAAAGAACTGAGCTGTGTATAATAACCATTTCAAAATTTCAACATCGTTTTTAAGCCATTTTAGAATAAGAGGTGTGCAACCTTCATGAGAAGTTTCTCAAGTATAAATTGCAGATTTATCAATTTTAAAACAAATTTAAAATAATTTTCCTACATTTTTCAGTGACTTAAGATAATTGCAATAAGTGTAAACGCAGTTTAAAAATAAGAGGTGTTGCATTTCTGAATTTTAAAATATTTCATAGAATTTTTTAAGGTATACTTGTACATGAGAATCTCATCAACACATTTAAAATACTGTAGTACAAACCAGCATGTAAATAGGAATACTTAAAAAAAAATTGTGGCCGCATTCGAGAACAAGCATTACGTCCACAGTAGAAAGAACATATTGTTGTACATGATTTTTTTTCAATACTACAGTAAACTAATTGAAGTCATATTCTAGAAGATGAACAGGAAACAGGTCAACATTACTTGATATTTTAGAACTAGAGTATTACAATAATATTTTGTAATTGCCTGATAACCACTGGTTTAGAATTAACTAGACAAAAGGAAACACTAATTTGTACGGCTTGATTGTGACAATTTTCTGCACATATAAAGCACATTTACATATTTTATTCAGGATACACAAAGCTTCCTTAGTTAGTTCAGTGTCAATTAACAGAAGTTGCTAGAAAAAGGAACAAAAATTTTCCTTCTGTACAAAGTTCAGTTTCTCTGAACGGGGCTATTAGGGAAAAAAAAATGCCTGCAATTCTTTGGTTTTCTATTCACACACAAAAACATTGCATCTACTCCCATAAGCCAACTTCTTTAATTTCAAAAAAAAGCAAATTACTGCAAGTACCAGTAGCTAGAGAAGCAAAAAAAAAAGACGACTGAACTGATCAACCTTGTATGGGTTTGGAAATAATTGAAAAAAAAAAATAGGTTTTCCTCAACTATTTTCTGACACGGGCAATCATAAACTAAGTTGTTTGGAAAGGATGTTCCGGACATTTAAACTCTTACACCTACCCTTTTAGTGTTTTCAATAACTGCTGGATCTGGTTTTCCATAATTGGGTGGATTTGCATATGGATCATATCCAAGCTTTGCTAACATAGGTGCAATCACTGGCATTTCACGAACTACCTCGTGCGGAATTTTTCCCACCCATTTTGACAAGGCTTCAACATTGACTGGTTTGATGACTTGATCAGTAGATCGCTCAACCCTGTAAAATTGAAAATATTCAACTTACCAAAACAGTTAGTCCATGTAAATTCTATTTTTCTTCCCCCCATGTTAAATTATGCTCTGAGCTTTACGTAGTTTTTAAAACATCAAATTACTTCCAAATACAAATATCCCAAATGTTGACACTTTGAGTTAGCATACCTAAAATGGAGTTCTTCTAAGTCTTCACTGTACTTTTATGGCACCAATATATTCCTTTTAATTGACAACCAGGACTGTGCACAGTACCAAACTGCAGTATAACCAATACTTGTATTAAATTCATCACACCTTTAACTTCACATTAATTACCCTTTTACAGAAAACTTAGATCCCTACATTCTCAACAAACCAAAAACCTGCTTGAGCTCAGCAATCAATCATTGTAGCTATCACATTAGCATACTGCAAAAATGAAGAATAAATATAACAATATTGCATATTCCCTTTAAGAAGCTAACCAGGACTAAAGTCTCACAAATAGAACTGTAAGGTTACTCTCCCAAGATTATTTCACCAAAACTTTTAAAAACTTTCCATTTGTTAGTTTAAAACACATTAGAATTTTTTTGGAGGACATGGTTCTGGGGAATTTCACCAGCCTATGTTGCATCAAGTAATGCACCCTCACCTCTCGTTTCAAGATCAAAAAAGCATAAGTAGCTTAGAAAAAAATACTTCGTTACTGGGTTCATTTGGCCATGGAATATTTAAAAACAAATGTATTTATAAGTTTTTCTTTTGTAGAAGATCTGTGATTACTATTTCTACATGTTTTCTTATTTGGAGGTACATGCCAAACACTAATTGTAAAACAATTTTTGTTAAGATATGAAAACAATTTCATATTATCCTATTACTTGGGAACAAGATCTATGCAACCAACATCTATAAGAATTGATATTAAGTAACCAGTTCGATAATAGTTGATTGCGACTTTTTTTACTGTATTGAGGGATTTTACTTACATGAAATGTAAACAAGCATACCTGCAAAACCACAATTTTCAATTATTTTAAAAAGTCACTGAAAAGGCAAGCACACAGTTACACATATTTTATACACTATGACTACAGAACGTGGTTAAAACGTAATGAATTAAGAGCATAAGATGAAGGAGCAAAAGTAGGCCATTCAGCCCATCAAATCAGCTTCACTATTCCACGAGATCATGGTTGGGGTGATAATCCTGACTACCACTTTCCTACCATTTCCCCATAATTCCTAATTGCCTTACTGATTAAAAATTTATGTCAACCTTGAATATAGTTAATGACTTAGCCTTGACAGCCCTCTGAGGCAAAGAATTTCATAGATTTGTTTCTGTCACAGAATAAATTCCTCATGATTATGCCTTCTGGTAGACTCTCGCGAAAGGAAAATACAACCTTTCCACATCTAGCCTATCGTACAGAATCACAGCATTGTTAGTGTAGGAGCCCATTTGGCCCATATCGCCCCATATCGCCCACATCATTTCAATGACCAATTACTAATGCCAATCTCCTGCCTATTCCCCACATTCCTGCACATCATTTCTATCCAAATAATCATCAAATACCCTCAAATGAACATACATCCAACACGTTTCCAGGCAGTGCTTTCCGTACTCTAATTACTTGCTGTATGAAAAGGCGTTTTACCCTTCAGATCACCCTTGCTTCATTTGCATATTACTTTAAATCAGTGCCTTCTGTTTTTCCCCTTTTACAACTGGGAATAGCTTCACCCTTTCTACACTGTCCAGCCACTTATGATTTTGAAACCTTTATCAAATCTCATCTCAGCCTTCTCTTTAAGGAGAACACTCTCAACTTCTTCAATTTATCCTCATAGCTAAAGTTTCTCATTCCTGAGATCATTCTTGTACACTATTCTGGACTCCCTCCATTGCATTCATACCTTTCCAATAATGTGAAGCCCACACCTGTATAAACCTCCTGCTGAGGGCAAACAAGTTCCTTCTACAAGTTCAACATCACCTCCTTCCTCTTGTACTCATTGTCCCCATTAATAAAACTGAGAACCCTACATCTTATTGGCTGCTCTCCATCCATTTTGCCTCCTTCAATGATCTGTGCACATATACACCCAGGTCCATTTACTCCTGCACTTCCTTTAAAATTGTATCCCTCATTTTATAATGCCTTTCAATGTTCTTCTGACCAATGCATTGACTCTCATCTGTCACCTACCCGCCCACTGCACCAACTTATCAATGTCCTTTGGAGTTCCACACTGTCCTCCTCACAGTTGACAATTCTTCCATGTTTACTGTTCCCTGCAAACCAAGATCCACATGATTAATATATATCAGGAAAAGCAAGGATCCCAATACTGAACCCTGGAGAACTCCACTACAAACCTTCCTCTAGCCCGAAGACAGCCATAGACCATTACTTTCACTTTCCTATCACGGTCAATTTTACATTCACATTCCTATGGTCCCTTTTAGACTATGATCTATATCTTTCCTCAAATCCATTGTATGGCACTGTATCAATGTCTTCTGGAAATCCATGTATACCACATTAACAGTGTTACCATTATCAACCTTTTGTGTTACCTCTTCAAAAAACTTTAACTAGTTAAAACATGATTTCCCCCTTCAAAATCTGAGCTGACTCCTACTAATCAAACTACCCTTCTCCATGTGATTACTAATTCTATCATGACTAACTGTTTCACAACCAAAGTTAAACTAACTGGTCTCTAGTTGCTGGGATTATCCTTACAACCTTTCTTGAACAAGGCTTGTAGTGTTTGCAATTCTCCAGTCATCTGGCACCTCTCCCTAAATTCAAGGAAGACTGAGATTAGAGCCAGTGCCTCAACAATTGCTTCCCACACTACCTTCAAAATCCTTGGATGCATTCCATCCAGTTCCAGCATCTAATCACGGTCAAGTGCTAACAATCTATTCGAGACATTTTCCTTATTAACTTTGAATGCTTCTCGTTAGAATTTATTCCTCCATGACTATGGTGTGGGCAGCATCCTCTTTTGTAAAGACAGATTCAAAGACGGTCAAGAGCCCCAAGAATCTCGTATGTTTCAAAAAGGTCACCTCTCATTCTTCTAAATTCCGATGAGTACAGGCACAACCTGTTCCATATCTGGAAACAGCCTAATGAACCTTCTCTGGATGGCCTCCAATACCAGAATGTCTTCCCATCAAAAAGAGGCCCAAAACTGTTCATAGTATTCCACGTATGGTCTGGCCTTGTATAGTTTTAGCAAAACATTCCTCCATTTATACTCCAGTCCCTTTGAAATAAAGGCCAAAATTTCATTACCCGCTGAACTTGGATACTAGGTTTGTGATTCACAGACAAAGATTCCCAAATCACTGCTCCATAGCTTTCTGCAGTGTTTCTCCATTTAAATAATACTCTGCTTCTCTATTCTACCTTTTCCTACATTATATTCCATCTCCCAAGTTTTTGCCTACTCGTTTAACCTGTCCAGATCGCTTTACATGCCTCGTCTTCTTCACCACTTGCCTTAAGATTATATCTAACCAATTTTTCCATATGCTATATACTTCCTGCCCATACAGTTTATTGCCAGAGTCAAGATTTTTTGAGTCATGTTTGTGCCAAAATATTCCAATTTTGGAGTTGCAGGTCTCTGACAGGTGGTACTATTGTTCCTCCCTGGTCCATTGTCTGCTTCCTGTTCCACCTCAAACCGTTATCTTTTTCCTGCTCAGATTACTGACGTTAACTGTGCTCTAAAGTCCCCCTACTCCTTCATTTGTTTGCAACCTTGACATTAGTTTATCTTAACACAATTCTTATGAAAAAAAAAGTGAGAAGAATTACAATAGTAAGGAATGCTTTTTCTGAAGGAATCCACTTCTTTAATACTAAAGTGGCTTAAGTGATACTAATACGAAGTCAAAAGCAAGATAAAGAACAGCATCAGTATTGGGCATGGAGCCTATGTACTTGTGGCACTCGAGGCTTCACTATTTGCAAGTTGTGGCTATATCTAACCTTGCTGCATCAATATCAAAAGTTGCCTTAAAAACTCTACCTCCAATCCTTCAAAATGCAAGTTTTAGTTACAATCACTGGCATGGATTCTACTACTACTTGCAAATGTCTTAATACCTCCCTGCTCGTAAATTCCAGGCTTTTTAGCTCCTTCCCATTTGCCTTCTACAAAAGATATTCCAGATGCATAGTATTTCAACAAGATCCCCAGTTTTGGCAGCAGTGCCCACTTCAATAGCTTATTCATTTGCTATACTGGATTGGTTACTGAAATGCATCTTAACATGCTGACATTAAAACACAAAAGATGGCTTCAGATCAGATTTTAATTAAATAATTTTCAATTTAATTACACAATGTAATTTTCTCCTCACACCCAGAATTACTTTCCTTTTTAGTGATGACCCATGCTTGGATGCTATTTCATTAATACCATGTAGTAGGTTATGTTAGCATTTTAATGCATGACCGAGGCAGCAAACATTAAGTCAGCCATTTATTTAGCCAAGGTCAATCCCCACAGATTGTTCAAAAATTTACATTTCCCAAGATGGATTGAATTATGAATGCAATTTTGTTTGAAATATTCAGTCCTTGCTTGGGCCACATTTCTCTGGTATCCAGAGTCCTGGTCATGTGTGGGGAGTGTCAAATCACCTGTTTTATCAAAATATGAAAATAATAGTTTCTGGCAATGGTGCTATGATATGCTATTTAAGATTTGCTTCAGCTTATCCCAATTTCAATGAGGCTCACAGTCAGTGAATTTTTCGAAGAAGCAGCTATGAGTCCAAAATCAATCATGGATTGCTTAACAGCTCAAGGTCTCTGGGCAGATCGGTGGCAGAGGAAGATAGACGTATTGAAAGAAAAATTGTTTTCTGCTGCATTAAGCATCTAATGCAAGTGCTTCTGTATTGTTTAACATAGGAGTATGAAAATATCCAAATTACCACTCCATAGAGCATAATTAAAGACATAAGAAGCCTACGCGCTATAG